TAAAGCAGCTGACAGTGCCTCCCTTCAAGGCAGGCCCACATCACAAAACCATGGAATGGCTGGGGCTGGAAGACACCTTAAGGCTCACCCCATTTTCACCCCGTTCCACTGTCCCAGGCTGCTCCAAGCCCTGTCCAGCCTGGCCTTGGACACTACCAGGGATGGGGCAGCTGCAGCTTCTCTGGGCACCCTGTGCCAGGGCCTCAGCACCCTCACAGGGAGCAATTTCTCCTCAATATCCCAATAACTCTGCCCTCAGGCAGGGTGAGCCATCCCCCCCACTTTGTGCTGTGGCTCCAGGCTCTTGTCCAGTCCCTCTTCTCCCTTCTGAATATGCTGTTCTGAATGCCCCTGAGCCTGGAAACAACTGATAAAACTCCACGTTGCTTCACCAAGCAGCAACAAACGCCTCAGGATTGCTTTCCCTGGTAACCCTGCTAGAAAGAAGCTTGCTTTGAAGCTGGACCCGTTAAACGTTTCCAACGAGTCCTAACGGCTGTCAGTGGTACAGCCTGCTTACCCTGAACAGCTCTGCCTCTGCTTTGGGCCCACATTTCTGCCTTTGATGCCAACACCGAGGATGGAGCTTCATCCTCCAGCACCGTCTGTCCCCGGGCTGAGCCCGCGGCCCGGGCTCCCCTCAGCCCCTCACAGGGACAAGTGACGTCACCGTACTGACGCCATACCGGTGACGTAACGCCTGGGATGAGGCCAGCCCCGGCTCCAACACCGCCCCCTCCCCGCCACCAGGTGGCGCCGCGTCGCGCTGAAAGCGCCGGCGTCATGACGTCACTCCCTCATTCCCGCCCTCCTGCCGCCGTTGGCAGCGCTTCACCCCCGCCCGCCCGCCGGTCCCAGCCCGGGCAGCACCCGCCGCCGCCGCCGCGGCCCCGCCGCCCACCCACCTGTCCGCGCCCCGGGCTGGCGGCGCTGCCCGCGCCCCGCCGCCACAGCGGGCAGCCCCGGTACGCGGCCGGAGCGCATGCGCGAGGCATCAGCCTTGTTGCTCGACTCGCTGCGGGCGCGGTGCGCATGCGCAGGCCCGGCTGGCGGGACCCTCACGCGACTCGCGCACGCGCACTGGCTTCCCGCCATCGGCTGTCACAGACGTTCCCGCCCCACCCGCCGCCATCCATTCCCCTCACGGGACCGGCAGCGCCTCCCGTCCCGGCGGCGGGGCTGAGGGGCCGCCGCGCTGCCTCTCCTCGCCCAGGAGAGCAGCCTGAGCCTCTCAGACGGGGCGGCGGCGTCTACTGATGCGAACCTAGCACGAAGCGGGCAGGTCGCGGTCATCGGCTACGTCCCGCCTCACGGCCCCACCGAGCCCAGCCCCGGCCGCGGTGGGACGGAAAGAACGTTTGATAAGTCCGTGGTACCGCCTGTCACTGAGGTGAATGGTCAGAGCACCACCGAAAGAGATCATATGGTACAGCATAGTTCGTCTGTATTTTTAAGGAGTTCCAATATATAGAAATCAATACATCTGAAAAAATATAAATACAAATTTTAAGTAGGGAGAGAAATACACACCACTTGCTTGTGAGCACGGTATGACCATTTAAAACCACTCGTTTCCACCTTAAGACCTCAGGCACACTTGTGCCGGCTGTGCAGCTGCAGCTGAAGCTCATTACAATTCTAATGTTTGGGGTTGTAATCAATGCTGTGCTGCTCATGTGGAAATTGATAGAAACACTGAAATTTCACGGTGAGCAGTGGCATAACTCAAGCTTATCTGTGAAAAGAACATTGCTTTTTTTTTTTTTTTTTTTTTTTGTTACTTTTTTCTGCCTGGAATTGAGCAGGAAAACAAGTCCTCTTCTCACTACATTTAGCTCCGGCTCAGGATCCTCAATGAGTATCACCTTGGAGTCAGGATCAGCAATAATTTCATCCAAACCATTAGCTAATTGTGGCCAGAAGTTTGCAGGTGTAAAATCACCTGAGATGGGTGGGAGGGTTCATATGCTGGATCTGCATTTTGAATGCACTATTGAAATCACAATTTCAATGTTGAAATCCAAGCTTCTTTCTCAATGCTTAGTCTGGCTGTGGCAAGAACCAAAATCACTCCTGAGCAGCACTTCATTACAGGCCAAGAGGCAAAGGAAGAGGTTTAGTGGAACACAGAACACACTGGAGCTTTGAAAACACCAAGACAGGCACTTCATTAATAACTATAAATCAGTTCCAGTGGTGAGCAATGTGATATCTCCTTTACACGTAACATTGTCCCATTATTACATCTCACTCCATAATTTGACATTACCAAAAGAACCTGAGGCTGTTACAGCATTGCCTGTTTGGAAACCTTAAGAAAAAAGAATCAACTAGAACTTTTAGAATGAAATAAGCTCTTGAAACACTGTGAGGTTTTACTTCCAGCAAAGCAATTTAATCTGTTCAAACCATTTTAGCTGGAAACCCTTGAATTTTAAGCAAAGAATGGTTATTTTGGCAGAACTGAGGGGTGTATTTTCTGCAGTGAACCTCTCCTGGAGATGCAACATGCCCCTGTCAGTGCAAAACTGATGAGAAGAAATTCTTTGGTTTGTGTCTTTCAACACTTCTGCTGGTTTATTCAAGTTCTTGCTCAAGTTACTGCACTGATGGGAATTAGGAGCCCTCAGAAGAAAATCCTGCAAGAACTTGCAAGTGCCCATTGCACAAACAGACTGAAAATACTCCAGTTCTGAATCAAGACACAGGAACTACACCAAGGCACAAGAACATCTCGTTGCACAATGCCCTAAACTGAACTCAGCACTCAAAAGCCAGATGAATATTCCCAGTGAAGATGCATCTAAAAGCACTGGCACTTAATGGTCCATCCTGGCTACCAAATGGCCATCAATTTCACAGGACATTTCAAGGCCATTCTTAAAAGCAACAAGGATGTGGTTCTCTGATCACTATTTGTAGCCAACATCAGCTGGAGGATGCAGCAACAGTGACAGGTTGCAGCGAGGAGAAGCAGCCCTCCCAAAATCAGGCTGCTCATCTGATTTGCACTCCCCATTTTTTAATAATTCACTTTTCCTCTCCCCACCCAGGGAACTGCTCTGTATCAGATATGGCTCAGGGCTCCAGTGGTTTAGGTTCCAGAATCACAATTTTGGCTTAATTTAACGTGTAATCACCCCTGAATTACAACTGTGTAGGTGGAGGCAGGTCCCTGAAACAGCAGCACTTGGGACACACTGTGAGAGGCAGGATATTTACTGTCACACTGGGCCTTTGGGTTATCTCTGCAGAAAACGACGACTATGGGACTTGTGAACATTATTGCTGACATGAAAAGGTTTTCAAAATAACTGCTAGAATTCTCTGTGCAATGGGATTTATAGTAAATATTGTTATCTACATATCTATGAGTACACAAATTACATATTATACAGACTGTACATATTCATCCCCAGTGTGCTGCAGTCAGATTGGTCAAAATTTCTGTTTCACTTTCTGCTCAATTTAAGAGCAGATCCCCTGCTGTTGTAGTGTGTTTTGCTTTGAATCCATGTTTGCTCCCTGGTCTCCCTAATCACTGCAACACCCTGCTTTCTGTTATGACTTGTAACACTGGTGGCTCTTTGGCATCTTCAGATTAACATTTTAAGCTTTTCATACAAATTGATTCAATTCAGGTTAGCAGTGATCAGAGAAGCAGCCACTGAGGCCAGTTCCAATGATGGAAGGTTTGGGTTTGTATCCATTTATTGTGTTACTCTCCCTTCTGGATGACAGAGCTCAGCGTAAACTCAGCACAGAGACTTGAAAGGGCCAAACAAAGAAAAAAAAATTAGCATTTTCCTGAAGAGCAGCTTGGTTTGTTTTTCTCTCAAGTGTGAATTTTGGAATGGTACAAGCCACTATATCCATCTCCTCCTGTAAGCCTGCCACGAAAACAAGCATATTTCCATTCAGTAACTCACATGGCACGAGTTTGAGTGGTATAAACCAAAATTCATCTGGCTCTCCTGGGAAGGGCAATGAATTATCATTTCCAAGAAGAATCACCATCATTCAGCCAGGGCACTGGGCATTACAGGATCTCTAAACACATTAAAAATACAGTTCCCATCTAAAACCACTAAACCCTGCCCTTTGATTTCCTGAAGCATGTTGCAAGATAACTTTGGCACGTTTATTAAAATACCTGTTGGACTACTTGGGGCAAAACAAGTCCAGGGATTGAGAAACAAAGCTGCAGCTGAATCTCCCTCTGCCTCCTGCCACAGCTCTGACTTCCTGGGTTTCAAAGGATTTAATGTGGCACAGTTCCATGAAGGACTGGTTTATTAATCTAGTTCTGGACTGGGTTTTAACCCCAGTTATTCCTTGTTTACTTGGGCTGCAGAAGGAGAACAAGCTCTGCTTGGCTCCTCAGTCTGCTTCTGGATTAACTGACCCCAAATCCCCTGCAGATCCTATCATGACATTTGGAATAACACTGGATGGATGTTTAATGGACAACTCATTACAATACCTTTTGCCATGTGGATTTAAAAATACGAGGAAACTACTTCTTTCCCTAATTTTTCATCTTTCCTGCTGCTGTAAATAGATTTAACAATGAGACCATCAGGAGTCTTTACAAATTTAAGTACTTACTGAAGCTTTTGCTCCCTGTGCTCCTGCCAGCTCTTCCATTTCAGCTGGGACTTAATGGCAGACTGGCAGACTTTACTTATTCCCACTTGTTTGCACGTCAAACCAGTTCCAGGAGGGATGTGATGGGAAGGATTTTGTGATTTTAGATTAAAATCTTACTAGAAGGAGCTGCAGCACGAAGGAACACTGCTTATCCTGGGAGAATGAGGAAATGAGTGTCCAGGCAGAGAATCCTCTCCTGGCCTGGGCTGCATCGAACCACAGCATCAGCCATGGAGTGCCCCAGGGAAGACGCAGGTGAAGTGTAAAGAGGGAGGTAACAGAGAAACAAAAGATGACTCTGAGAACAGAGTGAGAACAATTGACTTTTTTTTTTTTTTCCCCTCTCTTTTCTGGAAGAAAACCTTCCTGCTGATGAAAGAAGAGGAAAGCCCATTATTTCACTCACTCCAGAAGCATCAGAAGGTGAGCAGTTCTGGGTAGAGAGCAAGACAGATTTTAGCATCCTTTTCTTCCCAACCAATAGGGGAGAAAACCAGCTGGATAGGATTTAGTACAGGATAATTCCAATAAGCAGCCAAGCTTCCACAGATTCTCTGAAATACCAGGAATTTTTGAACCCAGGAGTTACTGAGAAACAACATGATTTCAATAGGTAAGGTTTGGGCAGACCTAGAACTGCCCTGGGAAGAACTTTCAACTGAGAATGGCGTTGGGCAGAGCCTCTTGAAGGTGCTGTAAGTTTGTGTTCACTGCCTCATCCAAATCCAGCAGGTACTTTTTTCATGCCTCTGAATCCTGGAGGGGTCTGTTTCACTTAGTGCTGGGATTCTGGAGTCCTGTGCTGTGTCCTTAATACAGATTGACTGTGTCTCTTAAGGAAATCCATTTAAGCTCCATGCAAACCTTATCTGTACAGTAAGAGTAATTCTGACTCATTTCACAACAAGAGTAGGAGGATTAATTAATAACTGCAGAAGTGCTAAACATTATTAATGGCTCCCAAGTTTTCTTCTCTTGGAAACAGTGGTCATTTCTTTCCATAATGTTTTAAACAGTTGCTGCTCAAGGAGCTTAGAGTGCAGATTCCTGGCTTGTGGTTTGTCCATAAATCACAGACCTGGAGCCTGCCCAAGACACTCTCAATGGTCTCAGCAGGAAATCTGGACAAGAGAAAGCTGTTCTCAGTCTGGCCCCCTGAACCGCTTTATGGCCAGTCCAGTTTCAACGTCCCACGCCAGACGTGTGAGGGATTCTATCCAAGTTTTAAAGCATGAGTTTCCAGAATGTCCTTTCAAACTGGATTTCACTCCCCATTAAATATTTTCCATCTTCTGCCCTGGAGAATATAGGTTTGACTTCACAGCTGATGAGCCTAGGCAGGGCAGGAGAGGAAGCCATGCTGTTTATCACCAATGGCTTTTCAGCACGTCAAGTTTAACTTGTAGTGAAAAATGAAAAAAACCCCAGGAACCTAATACAAGATAAGGTCAGGCAGCTGTAAATAAGATCCCAGAAAAAAAAAAAATTAAATCCAGTAGATCAGTTTTCTGCACAAAGCAGCATTGCTTCCAGGAAGCTATTTACCAAAGAGATTCTGTTGCCTTTCAGACAAGGAATCATTACCCAGACACCAGCTTTAGAGCAACTTGCCTGTGTTCCTATCAGCATTTCAGTTTGTGTTCATCAACATGATGCCATATATCCACCTTTTCCCACTAGGATCTGCTCTGTTTGCCAGGAATATCATCCTCACACACCAGCATTCCATGCAGGTGTTTGCTAAACAAAAGGGAAAGCTGAGTCCCAGAGGTGAGGAGGATCCAGTGGCTCAGACAAAGCAGCGTGATAGAATGTGTGAGATTTGGGCCAGAGCACCCTCCTGCTCCTGCAGCTGTGGCTCCTTCCTGCATGCTAGGACCATCACCATCTCTCACCACGCTTGATGGGCACAGGGACACAGGGCAGGTGTGCACTCAAGTAACAGATATCTTATTTGACATTTTAGGCACAAATCCCTCATGGCAAAAAATGAGCACCTGAAGGGCCGCTGGGATTCCTGGAGGATTCACAGGATGGGGAGGTTAAAGACGTGTCAGGCAGTTCATGGCCAGCTCCAAGCATGTTCTGCTTTGCAGTGCAGGACAGGTTACAAGCCAGCATCCAGCCTCAGCTCATTGTATCAACACTCCCATTTTTAGGCACTTTGTCAGGTGTGCAGTTTGCAGGATACCACACTCAACCTGCTGTGCTGCTCACAGCACAAATCACCAAAGGTTTTAATTGCTTCAGTCTGTGTTGCAATCGCAGAATCATTTGGGTAGGAAAAGATCCTCAAGTCCAACCATTAATGTAGCACTAGCCCATGCCCCAAGTGCCACTTCCACAGGTCTCTTGAATCTCTCCAGGGATGGTGACTCCACCACTGCCCTGGGCAGCTGTGCCAGTGCCTGACCACACTTCCAGTGAAGAATTTTTCCCTATATCTGATCTGAACCTGTCTTGGCATAACTTGAGGCCATTTCCTCTCATCCCATCCCTGTTCCCTGGGAGCAGAGCCCAACCATTACCCAGCTGTCCCCTCCTGTCAGGAGTTGTGCAGAGTTACAAGGTCCCCCCTGAGCCTCTTCTTCTCCAGGCTGAGCCCCCCCAGCTCCCTCAGCTGCTCCTGGTGCTCCAGCCCCTTCTCAGCTCTGTCCCCTTCTGTGAACATGCTCTAGCCCCTCAATGTCTTTCTTGTTGGGAGGGTACTAGGAGTGCCCCCAGTTCTGGAGGTGCCTCAGCAATGCCCAGGGGGGCAGTCACTGCTCTGGTCCTGCTGGCCACAATGCTCCTGACAGGATGTATCACCAGCTGTAGGATGGAGAAGGTGACTCCTTGACTGACTCAGCATCCTCTGAACTATCACTATTTTTCTCCTCTTCCACATCTGAATAAAAGTGAAATCTTAAGTAATGTTAATAAAACTCCTCAAATGGTCCCCCAAGCAGCAGGAATTTTTCACTCCTCTGTGCACAGCCAGGCTTCCTGTAGCTTAAAGAGCTGGAGGTTGTCCTGCCCAGCACAGCACTCAGAGTTAACCAAACCCAGTCCCAGCATCTTAATCTGGCAATTTAAAGATAAACTAAACAAAGACCAGGGCTGCTCAGAGCCCTATTGAGCAAGAGAAAAGTTTCTTATAAACCATTTGCATGGTGTAAAGCAGACACAAAGGGAATCTAGCATGGCATTTCTGTCTGAACAGCCGCTGCTCCTTGAGTCAAACCAAGGGCTACATCCATTTTCAGAGACAAAACTAACAGGGTTCATAGCTACAGATTCTCCTGTTTTCCCTCTATACTCTCTTGTTTTCACAGCCCTCTCCTGCCACCATGTCCAGTGCTTGATGCCCTGAGAAACCAAACAGCATCTGAAGAGAGACCAACCAACATCATCAGCTGGGAGACATAAAGACCAACAAAGTAAAGAGGAGAGTGATGTGGGGGACATCTGGAAAATAGCAGTTTATCATAAATACAGATCAGCGAGGTGTGCAGTTCATTCCAGACTCTCCAGAAAGCCACACAGTGGAAAGCTGCCTCCCAGTTTCTTCCCTTTTTCCACAAGACCATGGTGAACTCGCTTATCCAGCAGCTCAGTGATCTTTTCTGCCATGGGATTGCACTGACATGTTCCACCAAGAGTATCTGTGTCTGCCAAAAGCAGCAAGGTGTCTCCATGCCAGCAAACTCCTCCTGCCTGATCAGACCTGGAGATTTCTTGACTAAGTAATTGATTTTTCCAGTGCTTGTTCACAGCACAGAGGTGAGCAGGGATTTTGTGTATGGGGGAGGGGGGGGTGTGTATTCACAAACCTAACTGGGAATCTTGCTGTCAACATCTGTTTTGAGAAAGGTCATTTTTAGAAACAGCATGAAATTAGGCTCTTCAGGCTCATGTCAGAAATTTGGGTGCATTATTTAAGCAACAACCTCTGGATTTTGTCCCCACTAAGAGCACTGCACTTTGAACAAGCTGATGACATGGGATCTGGTAATTACAGGTGGCTCCTCCCTGTGCAGGGAGGCCTGGATGTCCCCAGCATTGTCCCTGCCCTCTGCCCATGAACTTGTGCTGGACAGTGCCTGCAAGCAGCTGCTGAGAGTGGCTGTGCCTGAGGCAAGGGATCAGCACAGAGCTCATCCTTCAGTCCTTGGGGCTCAGTTCTTCTCCAGGATTCTGGTGAGGAGTTCATTCAGCCGGTTCACCATTGGCCTGGGATCCTCATTCAGTCCTGCTGCAATCATGGCATTCTCATAAATCTGAAAAAGAAAGCACTAAATAAGCACCAAAGCAACCTGCTTGAGGGAGGAAGGGAATGTCCCTCCCAGGACCTGCATGCTGAAACCAAGAATGTCTTCTAGAGCACCTGCTAGGACAACATCAAGCACAAGTCCCAGAAATACCCAGGGACCAAGAAGGATGTGACTCCTGCCCACTGTAATGGTTCATCCTGTTCCCTGCCATGCATGGGCTGCAAGCTGGCTCTGGGAAGGATGGTGCTGCTTCTGGAGAAGGTCTGGCTCTCACCTGGTCGAGCAACATCTGAGCCAGATCAGGCTGGCTGTCCTTCAGCTCGCTGAGCTTCTTAATCAGAGCATGCCTGTAAGAGAGAGATCAACACTGAGACTTGCTGATTTAGGACACAGTGAGAAATTTATTTCCAGAATGAGCAGCTAAATCACAGTGGATCACCAAAGTCAACTTCCTTGCTTCTGTTCTGGGGGCTTCTCTCTTCCATCTGTTCCTACAACCGCCATGGTCCCCAAAGGGCTGCACACTGTGTGGGGGTCTCACGTTGAAGGTGCTTCACAGATTAAGGTTCTGTGGCACTGACTGCACTTAATGGGGAGGACTCTGCTAATTGGTAGCCTTACACTGCCTCCTCTCTGCCTCCACTTCCGAGAGGCTGCTGTGTCCCAGGCCTAGTGCTGGTGCTATCCCTCCTTACCCTGTGTTGATCTCCAGGGTGGGCTGCAGGAGCTGGGCTCGCTCCTCCTGGGTCTTGGCCAGCTGCTGCATGCGCAGGAAGTGGCGGGCAGCGCCCATCTCCAGCACGGTGATCATGGCAGGGTGGGTGTCCAGCCGCGTGGTCACCTGTGCACAAGCACCAGTCAGGGCTGCCATGGACAGTGCATGTCCAGCATGCAAAAACGTCACCCGAGGCTTGCAAGATCCCAATCCTGCCTTGCCTCAAATGATAGAGGCCTGCAGTAAAATTGGCAGTCCTCAACACATAGCTACCATTCAAGCAAATACTCTGGGAGAGAGACTTGAAAAAGCTTTCACAGATCAAGCATAAGCGAAGGATGACAAATTTGCAAAAACCCTTGATGTCCTCAACTCAACACTTCAGCAGAACAATAAGGCATTGTAAAATGAGACTTCCAAAAGATTATTATCCATGTGGAAAGCCTGCATATGTGAGGAAAGCCTGAGGACTTGGAGTCTCCTCAGGACAGATCCACACCAAGCCTCCACATGAATCATTCCCATCCCACAGGAGACTGCCTAAACCAGCAGGAAAGATGGGGGCTCAAATGGCCCCACAGTCCACAGGCAGTGGACTGCAGCTGGACCCAAAGCATTCCTTGGCAATACACCTCTCTAGTCCACAAGCAAGAAAAGTCCCCAGCCTGTTCTGGTATCCTGAGCATCGACTGCAATATGGGCTTTGCTCAATACACATTGAGATGTGGTTCTTATGCTGCTACCTTGACCATTCAATGACAAATGCCAGCATCCACACCATTTACACACAGGAGGCACAGAGAAAAATGTCTTCCCACAGGGTCCAAAGAAAAATCTGTGGCAGCAGATCCCCAACTACCTGTCATCTTTTTTCCCTAGATTGTTACCACCGTGGATCTCCTGTACTCAGTTACCCAGACACAGAATACCCACCTTCACTCCAGTGACTCGAGAACCTAAGGCATTTCTCATCCAGGCCATCAGATCCTCAGCCTCCTTCTCTGTCAGACGTTCTCCAGCTGGCAGGGAAAGAGGGCTCATCTGAGTGTGCATCTATAGTGTGCAATGAACAATAAGCTGAGTTTTCACACTTCCATTTATCAGTTCTCTTGTGGGAGTGGGAATGCAGCTCCACTCAGCACACACCTACATACCCTCATCCCAGAGCATGCCATACCTGTACCTGAGGTACATGCCATACATGAACCTGAGGGCAGGCTCATGCCTTGACAGGGGCTGCCTCCCTCTGTCTGGGCACCAGATGTATGCATAGGGTTGAAATAAAACCATGGCAACTCCACACATGACATTCCATTTAACTTTGATCATGTGAGATGAAAGCAGTCTCCAAAAACTCTAAGCTGCCTCAGACCTTGAGAGTGGAAGCCATGAGAATGGTCGAAGGCTCTGCAAGAGCAGAGGAGGAAGGTGTCCCCTCACTGGCTGCTCAGGGTAGCAGGACAGTGTGCAGCACGAGGGGACAGGGGAGTCTCATGGTACCTGGGCGGCTCTCCTCAAACTTCTCTTCCTTATAGTGATCAACAACAATGTCTGTCTCCACAGAGATCAGCTTCTTCTTGTCAAACTCCCGGAGGTGCAAGAGTGTCAGCTCATCAAACTGCTCATAGCAGAACAGCACCTGTGCCAACAAAAGGACAGTAACACATTGTTTGGGATGTAACAGCATTCCCTCCTTCCCAAGGCAGCTCTGTACCAAACAGCAGGAACATCACACAGGAAATTCACAGCCGTTTCAACCCCAACCCCACAGTGACTGTCACTCAGGGCCTGACAGGAAAGCCAGCCCTTAGAGGGATTTGTTACCATGGGTGGCAGGTCTGCAAGTGAAAAAGTCGGGCTGCCCAGGGAAAATGAGAACCAGCACTAACTCCAGTCCTGAGAGGGCCACCTGCCCACAGAGGACAACTGCAACACAATTACAGCCCTGCACAGCAGCTCCCATGCTCCTGCTGTGGGATCCAGCAAAGGTAGGAAACAGATATAAGAACTAAGTGTCTGTACAAGTACTAAATCACAGAATATGCTGAGTTGTAGGGGTCCCATCAGGAGCCTTGTCCCAACTCTTGTCCCTGTGCAGCACACCCCAGCAATCAGTGTCTGAGAGTATTGTCCAAATGCTTCTTGAACTCAGACAGGTGTGATGCTGTGAGAACTTCCCTGGGGAGCCTGTCCCAGTGCCTAACATCTCTGGGTGAAAACTTTCTCCTGATACCCTACCTAAACCTACCAGCTCAGCTCCAGCCATTCCCTTGGGTCCTGCACACCAGGACATGTGAGTGAAGGTCATGAGAGTGAAGAGATCAACACCTGCCCCTCTGCTGCCCCTTGTGAGGATGTTGAAGACCACGGTGAGGTCTCCCCTCAGTCTCCTTTTCTCAAGTTGAACAGACCAAGTGCCCCCAGCCACTCCTGATAGGGCTTCTCCTCCATGCCCTTCACCATTCTCACAGCCCTCCTTTGGATACTCCTAACAGCTGAATGGATTTTTTTTAACGTTGTGGTTAAGAGTGTTTGACAGGTTCCTCCTGGCCTTGTACCACAGTCTGAGCAGAGGCAGAGAGGGCCAGGCAAAGGCACCGTGCTGGCAGGGCTCTATCACAGGCCTCATTGTGCTGCTCAGCTCTGAGAGCCAGCCCCAACCACTGCTGCAGCAGCTCAGGGTGCTCCCCCGGCTGTGGCACCACTGCTCACCCACCTCCATGTCCTTCTTCTTCATGGCCTCGAAGTAGGGCGAGTGCTCGGCCAGGTGCCGGTTGGGGGCACACAGGTAGTAGATGTTCCTGCTGCCGGCCTTCATGCGCGAGCTGTAGTCGGTCAGGCTGGTCAGCTGCCCCGCGGGCAGCGCCGACGACTCGTAGCGCAGCAGCTTTGCTATGTCCTCCTGCGAGAAACGTGCTCCTGTGAGCTCAGCTGGGTCACTGAGCTCCACCCGACCCCTCCCAGCCCCAAGGATTCCTGTGCCTCTTGGCAGCCCTACAAAAAGGCTCAGGGGATTCCAAACACTCCTTTCCTGCTCCAAATATTAAAGAGGCAGAAAAGTGACCTACAGAGGATGTAGGTCAAGCTCTCCTGGAAATGGCAATTAGGCAGAAGACAACAGGAGGGGAAGGCCCATCTTTATTGCCTGCTGTAGTTGACATTGCACCAGGGAGGGCTGACAACAGTGTGGGTACAGAGACTCTGCAGGGTCTCAAAATAAATAGGAAGCAGCACCAGTCAGAAAGAGTGAAAGTTTAGGCACTAGAGAATCCATAGGTCTAGGAACACAAGTTATGGGCATGCAAGTTCCATGGGAAGTAGCAGTCTACCTCATCCCCATGGCAATCTCTCCCATCAGCTGTAGTGTTTCAAGACTTGTACCTTGACATCCTGCTCTGCTATTGTGACAATCCCCTCTCTCATGAATACCCCATACTCCTCAAAGAATTTGGCATATTTCTCAGGGTCCTTCTTGCTCTGGTCAATGAAGAACTTGATCAACCTCTTCTGCAAAACATCACGGAGCTTCCTGCAGGAGGAACAAGCCTTTTTAAAGACAGCTGCTAGAGCCAGACAAGACGTTTTAGGTAAATGTCTCTCTGTGCAGGGTTGTAGTGAGTCCACTGTCCCCTCTTCCTCATGGCTTTACATCTTTTCCTTGTATCTCAGTCCAGAGATACTCTCACTTACCTGATCAGGGCACTCTCCTGCAGAAGCTCCCTGCTGAGATTCAGGGGTATATCCTCACTGTCCACAACACCTGGAACACAAAGCAACCCTTAACAGTGATGCAAACACAAGTGCCAGGTTCAGAAGGGCAGCCTCATCACTGTGGAAGCCATCATCCACAACCTGCTATTCCTGGTCCCACACACACCTCTAATGAAGCGCAGCCACTTAGGCAGGATGTCTGCAGCTTTGGTTTGGATGAGGATTTTGCGGCTGTAGAGGGCAACGCTGGAGCCCATTTCCCTGCTGATGTCAAACATGGATGGCTTCTGCAGGAAAAGAGACAGGAGGTAACACCAGCAATGTGCAGGGTGCCCACACCACACTGTGGTCTTCCCTACAATGCTAAACCCAGTAAGAGCAGAAATACCAGCTCTCTTCCTTAGGGACCTACCTCAGCCATCCCCCCTGCTCCTGCCATGGCTCAGTATCCCAACTACCCTGTGGCACCCAGCCCACTACAGAGATGCCACACTGGATAATCTCCCTGCAGCCGTATCTGCCTCCTTTCCCTAAGGAGCTCTCCCATTCTCCCCT